GCCATGCCACCATGATCTCTTGCCTAGATCACAAACACTATCAAACCCCTAGAATAGTTAAGGGGATCTTTGTGAGGTTGAAAATCTAACTGTGTCGTCCCTTTGATTAAGATACATCAGTACCTTCTCATTGCTCTCAGATTACAGTCCTAAATGCTTAGCATGCCTTCTAAGGCCTAAGCCAGTCTTTGCTTATCTATTTTTTTCTCCCCTACCTACCTTTGAAAGAAGTTTCTTGACTCCTTTTTCAAGTCTCAGATTTGATAGCATGTTGGAAAAAGGGCTTTCCTTAATTCTTCATCTAAGATTAGGTGAATGCATATGCTCTCATCTTTCCTTTTGGTGGCCCTCATTACACTTAAAATTGTTTAAAGACTACACATGTTGACACATTTTGAGTTCCGTGAGAGCAAGGATCATGCCTCTTTTGTTCACTCTTCTGTCCTCAGTGCCTGACACCAATTGAGTGCTTAATAAATATTAAGGGACTATTGAATAAATGAGTATGTTCAGAGCATGACCCTACATTTTAACTTCTCAAATGGAACATGACACTTGGAAATACCTGAGAACAGTGTGTTTCATGTATTAGAAATTACATGTTGTGATAAGGTACAGGAAAAAGAATCTAAAGAGAACAGTGGTACCTTCTTCTGCTCCTCCTTTTTTGCACAATTTACAAAGGTCAAATCTGTGTGAAGAATCTGCTGGGAGACTGCAGCACTAAGGACCATGTTATTGTCATAAAATCTTCTTTTGAAGGGCAAACCAATGAAAACCTGTAAAGTGTTCTTGCATTTCCCAATTCCTAAAGATGCTTTCAAATTGCTCTCTGAGACTGATGCATGTGGGGAAAAATTGATACAAGTCGTTAATTGAGACAAAGAGGACATTCTACTTTACTCACTTTAAATTACCTTTATTAATTTTTTATAAACATTTTTATTGAGTTATAGTCATTTAACACTGTTGTGTCAAATTCCAGTGTAGAACACAATTTTTCAGTTATATGTAAACATACATACATTCATTGTCACATTCTCTTTCACTGTGAACCACCACAAGATCCTGTATGTATTTCCCTGTGCTACACAGTACAGTCTTGTTTATCTATTCTACATTTTGAAATCCTAGTCCCTTCCCACCACCCATCCCCCTGGCAACCACAAGTTTGTATTCTATGTCTATGAATTTGTTTCTGTTTTGTATTGTTTTTGTTTGTTTGTTTGTTTTAGATTCTGCATATGAGTGATCTCATATGGTATTTTTCTTTCTCTTTCTGGGTTACTTCGCTTAGAATGACATTCTCCAGGAGCATCCATGTTGCTGCAAATGGCATTATGTTGTCGGTTTTTATGTCTGAATAGTATTCCATTGTATAAATATACCACAGCTTCTTTATGCAGTCATCTGTCGATGGACATTTAGGCTGTTTCCACGTCTTGGCTATTGTAAATAGTGCTGCTATGAACATTGGGGTGCAGGTGTCATTTTGAAGTAGGGTTCCTTCTGGATATATGCCCAGGAGCAGGACTCCTGGGTCATACAGTAAGTCTATTCCTAGTCTTTTGAGGAATCTCCATACTGTTTTCCACAGTGGCTGCACCAAACTGCATTCCCACCAGCAGTGTAGGAGGGTTCCCTTTTCTCCACCGCCTCTCCAACATTTGTCATTTGTGGACTTTTGAATGATGGCCATTCTGACTGGTGTGAGGTGATACCTCATTGTAGTTTTGATTTGCATTTCTCTGATAATTAGTGATATTGAGCATTTTTTCATGTGCCTTTTGATCATTTGTATGTCTTCCTTGGAGAATTGCTTGTGTAGGTCTTCTGCCCATTTTTGGATTGGGTTGTTTGTTTTTTTCTTATTAAGTTGTATGAGCTGCTTATATATTCTGGAGAAAATATAAGCCTTTGTCGGTTTCATTTGCAAAAGTTTTCTCCCATTCTGTAGGTTGTCGTTTTGTTTTACTTACGGTTTCCTTTGCTGTGCAGAAGCTTGTAAGTTTAATTAGGTTCCATTTGTTTATTCTTGCTTTTATTTCTGCTGCTTGGGTAGACTGTTCTAGGAGAACATTTTTGAGATGTATGTGAGATAATGTTTTGCCTTTATTTTCTTCTAGGAGGTTTATTGTATCTTGTCTTATGTTTAAGTCTTTGATCCATTTTGAGTTTATTTTTGTGTATGGTGTAAGGGAGTGTTCTAGCTTCATTGCTTTACATGCTGCTGTCTAATTTTCCCAACACCATTTGCTGAAGAGACTGTCTCTATTCCATTGTATATTCTTGCCTCCTTTGTCAAAGATTAGTTGACCAAAAGTTTGTGGGTTCATTTCTGGGCTCTCTATTCTGTTCCATTGGTCCATATGTCAGTTTTTGTACCAATACCATGCTGTCTTGATGACTGTATTGTCTGAAGTCTTGGAGAGTTATTCCTCCAGCCTCTTTCTTTTTCTTCAGTAATGTTTTTGCAATTCTAGGTCTTTTGTGGTTCCATATAAATTGTATTATGATTTGTTCTAGTTCTGATGTATGTCCTGGTAATTTGATAGGGGTTGTATTAAATCTGTAGATTGCCTTGGGCAGTGTGCCCATTTTAACAATATTGATTCTTCCAATCCAGGAGTATGGGATATCTTTCCATTTTTTTAAGTCTTCTTTAATTTCCTTCATCAGTGTTTTATACTTTTTCATGTACAAGTCTTTCATCTCCTTGGTTAGCTTTACTCCTAGGTAAATTACCTTTATTAATTTTTAAAGTTACAAAAATAACAGCCAACTAATGCAAAGATACATTTAAAAAAAAAAACTCCCACTCCCGTCCAAGTTAACTGTTTTTAGGTAATCAAAATTCACAATCTGTTGTACATCCTTCCATCCTGTTTTCATGTTCATATAGTTACAAACAAAATTATATGCCTATATCTAGTTTGATGTTTGCTTAGTTTAAAAAAGTTGAATTAACAGTGTGTGTATATTACTCTGCAACTTAGGTTACTCTTTGAATAGTAATTATTAGCACCTTTTCCAGCACCATTTCCAAGATGGCTTCCTTGTCACATTGACACTGTGTGTCAGTAGTGCTGTCCTTCCAGTTTTTGGCTTAAGCTGTCCCCACCACACCTTCTGCTGTGAAGAAGCCATAGTGGCCCTCACAGCAGACAAACTGTTTCCCTATTCTTAGCGACTTTTCAGGTCTCCACTGGAGCAAACTTGGACTTCTGCATGACATCCATGCCCCAGGGAAGTCTTGGGAGTAGTATTTGCCAAATGCACCATTTCTCTACTCTTAACTCTTCAATAGAGGTTTGGAGCCACTCTACAGGAAACATTCCTCCCAGGGCTCCAAACTACTCCGCAGGCCCCCTCTGCTTTTGGTTCCCTTGATCTTTTCCACGGTCTCCCTCTTCTTACCACCACCATGCCACACCCCAGACCAACAGTGGTGCTGAATTTCTCTCCCAGCCACCATCTTACCTTGTAGAAAACTTCTCTGAACCTGAGATTTCCCAAGGAAAGATTTAAAACCCATGTTAATAATAGGTTTTCCATATAATATATTCTTCTCTTTCAAGAATCTTACTTTAACACATACTATAATTTTGCAGAAATAAGATCACCCTCCATTTACATTCAACTATATTGCCCAGGATTTTTCATCTCAATTTTTATTTCCTCCTTTTCTTTCCTTATTTTGAGATCAATGCTCTGATTTAACCATTATGATATGGTTAGAATAATTCCTCAAATGCTGTCTTCAAGTAGGATACATGGGTAATTTACATTCAGAACTTTTGCATGTTAAGAAGTGACTTTCTTTTGCCTAGTTAGATGAAGAATATTTTGGTAGAATTAAAAGTTCTTGAGTTGCTGTACTTTTTTTCCCCTCTCAAAGTACTATAGATGTTACCTTACTGACTTTGAGCTTAGAGTATTACAGATAAAAGGTCTGATGATCTTCTGTTCCTTTCTTTTTGGTAAGTTTCTTCAGTGTAGAATCTGCTAAAGATGCTTTTTAACATTTGAGTTTGGAAATTTCACCTACATTTGTTTAGGGGTCTTTAATGATTTGGCCTCAGAGTCAGTGAACCATTTTAGTCTTCACATTCAAGTGTTTCTTCATCTTTGGTAACTTTCAACTTTTTATTGAGTTATTATTTCTTCTCCATGTGTTCCTTTTCCTCATTCTGGAGCTCATACCATTTGCATGTTGGTACCCTTGGGTCTGTCTTCCAAGTCTTTTATCATTTCTCTCAAGGTATATATCTCTTTTAGTTTTCATTCTGTTGTATTAGCTTTCTATTTCTGCTATAACAAATTACCACACACTTAATGGCTTAACACAATACATATTTATTACCTTATAGTTCTATATGTTAGAAATCTGACAAGGGTCTCACTGGGCTAAAAATTAAGATATCAAGACTATTCTTTTGCCTTGCCAGCTTCTAAAGGCCACCCACGTTTCTTAGCTTGTGATTGTCCCATTCTTCTGTCTTCAAAGCCAGCAACAGTACATCTCTTTGGCCATTTGTCAGTATTTACATCTCCCTCTCACAATCCTTTTCTGCTTTCCTCTTTCACATGTAAAGGCCCTTGTCACTACAGTGAACCCTCCTGAATAATTGAAGATAATCTCCCAAATGCAAGGTCTTTAATTCAATTAGATCTGTAGATCCTCTTTTGCCTTGTAAGGTAACAGGCACGTGTTCCAGGGCATAGGACATGGACATCCTTAGGGAGTATTTACTCTGCCTACGACTCCTGTGCTGTGAAACAGTCCTCTGATTTAGTCATCAGCAATACCTAATTGAAAGATTGACAAGAATGATGAGTGAAAGTGGGACCCAAGGCCTACTGATAATTTTCAGAGCTGTTTGCCATATGCCTTTCCTATTAGCCTTTGTACAGCTCATTCCCTGATGCAGCATAATCCACACTCACTCAGAGATTACAGTGGCTAGAGTGACTAACCATGTGCTCTTATTCTCTTTTAGAATCCAGTGAACATGAAGCCAAGAGTGCAGGTGCCTCAGGGGAGACACCCTCCCAGCCTTATCCTGCACCAGTATATAGTCAGCCTGAGGAGCCAAAGGAGCAGATGGAGGATGCAAAACCAACGAAACCTGAAGAGAGTGAGGAATCAGACCCATTGCCTGATAACTGGGAAATGGCCTACACAGAGAAGGGTGAAGTCTACTTCATTGAGTGAGTTTCACACATTTCTCTGAACATTTCCATAAAGATCATAGCAGCGTGTAAATGATGGAGCAACTGGAGACGTGGTCAAAGTAAAATACTGCATTTCACTGTTAGTGTTATTAACTTCTTTCTTTGTGAGAGAATAATGAGATAGTGTCTTAATACAATTAAAAGATCCTAGATTATAGCCATCAATCAAAGAATGAATTAAACAATTTCATTGCAAAATTTGTTGCAGTCATGACTGTAAAGGCAAATCTCCATGTGATATTATTATTAAGTTAGAAATAGTATACTTATCATGGGGAAATGCTTGCTGTACTCTTCTAAGACCTCCATGCAGTTCAAATGAGAGAATCCCCATCTTTTAAATCAGATTGCTGGAGACCTCCACTATCTTGCCCAGTGGTTTAATAGGATGCAGCTACTGAGAGCAAAATACTTGCTGGTCACAAAAGAAAACATTTTAGGAATTTGACCCTGAGGTCAGGTGTTAATAAAATCGTGTGTTTTGTATAGTTTATCATACTTATTTTTATTAAATTTCGTTCTGTTTGTTGCTTACCGTTTTTATGACTTGCCAGGGAAACTGAAATGCTAATTCTGAACTTTCTGGTGATATATACTCAACCTAATCTTTTCTTTCTTTTGGGACTTTTTTCCCCAAACTGAGTTTTTTATTTATTTTATTAACAACATTATCTAGGTTTCCTTTTCTTTAGTTTCTAGGAGCAAAACAACTTTATTAACTCCTATAAATTGAAGCTTGTAGTACAGAATTAAATTGTTGATGCCATAAGACAATGAAAATGTTTGTTAGAAGGTATAAAAATGAAAAATATTGTAAATGAACAACAACTCTAGTCCCTCAAAGTTGTAGGCGACTCAAAGAGAAAAATTAGTAGCATCTGAGTTTTCAGTGCGGACAGTAAATAAAAATATGTAAACTCTGACTATTCAAGAAACATATTAAAACTAGATTCACTTTCCCAACGTGGAGTGATTTGTGACTTGGATCTCCATAGGCAGAACTCAGTCGTGAAATTGAAATGTTACCACATGCTAATATTTAATTCTCACATGAAGGTGGAAACTTTGATCCTTGTGGCTAAGGGAATACATAAGCAGGTAATTACTTGGTGCTCTGCTTGACTCCAACATGGATGAGAAATGCAGTGTTTTGCAGAAAATAAATTGCCACCATTCACCTTTTAACAAATCTTATAAGTTTAAAAAAAGAATAGGAATCTCATATATTTCTTATTGCTCTAATCAATGACCCAAAGACATCTTTTATCAATTAATTGGAAAAGAGAAAGTAGTACAGAATTTTTTGGTGTTCAAAAAAATTTATATCTAAAAGCATAATTTTGTTATTGATAGGCACAGCATATCACCATTGCAGACCAGAAAATATAAACCCTAGAGGTCACACATTGGTGTTCAGAACATTTGATGTTTAGAACAAGGAGACTGATAGCATGCACATTTTTATTATATAATACAGGGGAGTAAGACTATGTGGAAATAATAAAAGACAACCAGCATGGACGTTGATTAAAGAACTGTTTCCCTTCAGTGTTTCCAATAATGCAATATAAAGATCTTCTTTTTTGTGATTATAAAACAAACTTTTCTCTTTTGACTGTGTCAGATTTGGGGATTGTGGAGAAAAGAGACTTTGTAAGACAAAAGTTGTGTTCATGGTAAATAGTAAATGATGAGGCTCTGTCAGGACTAGGAGGAAGTGACCAAAATGATTCTACTAATACTCTAGTGAATCATCCAATATCAGAATTCAAAGATTCATAAGATTTTGTCTCTGCTCTTAAATTGATTGTCAAGTTGAAGAAGAGAGAAGAAGAGGAATAGTGAAATAACTAGTAAGCAGTTGACTTCTGAATGTTGTGATACTATTCCGAGAAGGGTACACCTAGTGGAGACATAAGTAATAAAAGGAAGCGTCACAGGGAAGGTAAAGTTGGCAATAGGTAGATAGAGCATTCCAGGTATCGGAACTGTTATTACAAAGCCCAGTCCCTGGGTGTGTGAGGGATGATGAGAAGACCCCCCTGGGGAAGTAGGTGTTAGTTGGTGACTCCTCTGAAATGATGACTTAGTTTCATTTTGCTTGATCATTAGTGCTTTTGAAAGACAAGGAGAGGGTTTTGTTTGTTTACCTTCTTCCTATTACTGCAGGGAAGGATGAATGGATAGTATTAGGAACAGAGAGGTGGGTTGAGTTGAAATATTAAGACAAAAAGGAGGAGACAGTTTCATTTGCAGCAAGAATGCTTATACTGGGGGGGGGGGACTCAAGCAGAGGTCGAGAAGAAAGAAGCCTGGATTAAGGGCTGGAGTGAGCATGCGATGGGAGGGTGATTAATAGGAGGCACGGGCAAATGCCTGCTTAAAGAGGTTGCTCACAGAATGGAGGCATTCTCCCACCCACCCTTCATCCTGGACCAGTTTGAGATCCATCTTTTCTTCCTTCAAAAAGCTTACTTTGACTCCCCAGACTCAGTGTGATAAGTTCAGGTATAACAGAGCAGGGAGGGGTCAGTGTCTTTTTCCTCCAGTCCCTCATTTGCACACCATCACACCCTGTGATGCATACTCTTTTCTCTCTGGCCTATATTTCACTCCGCTGTGCTTCTCTCTTAGTTTTCACTAATTTTCTACCCATTGCTGTCACTCTTTGCTCTGGAATGCTCCTTTTCTTCCTAACTACACTTGACAAAATCAACATCTCAACCCAGTGTCCTTGATATCTGGGTATCTTTGCTGGCTATCTCTGTTGATATCACAGTGAATTCTCATGTGAATAAACTCTCTACTGTTAAAGCTCCTTGGGAGAGCAGGGTACAGTGACAGGAGGCAGAGTATGGCGGGGCAAAAGGATTGTCTTAGGGACCAAGCCATGATGTGTCCTGGAACTTCTGGCCAATTCACCTATAGAACAAATAATATTTGTAATATACAAGTTTGCAGTCCAGAAGCAAAGCCATAGTAAAGAAAGAAGATAAAAGGGAAATGCAGGGTAAGAGGAAGGTAAAGCAGACAGAAGGAAGGGTGGAAGAGAAGGGACATCAGTGAGATTTGTGAGGTAAGGAGAGCTGACATCAGTGGAAACTTCCTTCTGCACAAATACTGTGAGAGTCACTTAGAATAATGGATGTCTCCCCTGGTAGGTAACACATCCTCATTACACTTTATTGAATTCTGTCTCCTGTGAAATGAAGATGGTGATAAAACAGAAGATAACTGAAACAAAGGAGAGGGACCCTGTGGTTCTATGTATAAGATTTAAATATCTGTATTTACATATATTTCTATATTCATTTGAGTAGAAGAGGGGAGCTCTGCCTATGCTGAAGTGTTCATTGAAGTGTGTATTTTAAAATACATACCTATATATACAGAGAGAGAGTGCGATTTGAATTAGGGTAATAAGTAACTTCATTTTTTGTCCTCTGTACAATAATGTTTTAAAATATTTATTGATTTACTCAGTTTTGCAAAATAGTTCATATGTCTTGGTACTTTACAAGTCTTGCTTTTAGAAGATGAGGGGGTTTTTTTGTCATTGTTCTCATACTGAACATGTGGGCCAACTCTATTTCCCACACTCTTCAGAACTGCTCCCATTGGTAAATGATAAAAGCAGGTTCCTTTTATCCCTTACAATGACTTTTAATGGGAAAAGGTGACTGAGAATGCATTTTTAAGCAACAGAATTTTAAATTGTGAATGAATTCACTTTTCCAAACATGCTTTAAATCATTAATAATGTCATATGTTTAACAATTTTAAAAAACTTTCAAATGCATAATATTGTTTAAAGCCAGTAGTTTCCTTAACTCATAATATCTTCATTAATAGTATCTTTTTTAACAGACAGTATATTAATTATAAATTCAAGTTAGTAATAATCGTTGCCACGTATTGAGTGCCTACTCTTTTGAGGCTGTGTTCAGCTTACTTAACATTAATAGCTAATACGGTAAGCATTTACACTATGCTCCTTTAATTCTCACTTTAGGAAACTGAGGCTTATAGAAGTAAGAAGCCTACTCTTGGTCGTATAACCACGAGTTGACAAAGCCAGGATGATTTGATTCCATTTATTCAACACATATTTTTGGGGCACATACTATGTACTAGGAACCATTTTATTAAACCCTGGGAATACAGCAGTCAACAAAACTGACAAGATTCATTCTTTCATGGGACATAGTCTGGCTCTAAATGTCCTTGCTCTTAACTAATTTGCCATGGTGCCTACTTTACATATATTAAATCATAACCACCCTTTAAAGCATTTGAGGTACCCCCATTTTATAGATGATATTCCAAGATACCCTTGAGCAAATTAACAGTCCCAAGATCTCATGGCTTTGTGACCCTGCAAAGCCATTGCCATTATCCCATACCACCGCCAATATATAAACAGGCATTGGTTGAAAAAAAGAAGCATACTTTTACAAATAGTATTTGTTTTATAAGTTTCTCAGCCAAAAATCCACTATTCCAGAGGGTAAATATTCCATAAAGAAGAGCTGCCACAGGGTTAATCTGGATTGACATGCTGTGGGAATCCCATTAAACTACTTCTTTGTTTGGGAGTCAGTTTAGTTAGTGACATAAAAGAGACTGCTATTGCTTTGGCGAAAAACAAAAATGACAACAAGAACCTATTTGTTTACTACCATCTTCCTGAATGGCAGTGAATGCTATGCCATCTTAAATAATAGATTTTTAAAAGCAAGCTTTTGTAACTGAAAATCACATCTGAAAAATGTCATGGCTATACATGGTTTCCTATATCTTTGTCAAGGCTGAATTTGCTTTTAAATTTTAAACAAGACACACAATCTGTTTCTTCTTATGTTGCTATTTCTGTATCTCCTGAAGTTTTAAGTAAATCACCAATTACCATTTACAACAAATTTAAAACTTTCATTTATTAAAAGAAGATAAAATATTTGAGAAATTTAATGAAAAGAAAAGCATAGCTGGCTTTTTGGTATGAGGCAGTACCAGCCTAATGCTACTCATTCTAGGCTCAGCATATCCCAACTAGTCATGAAATCTGGTCTAGGGTTACTTTCTGTGATTTGTATTATAATAGCAGATAAAATGAGTATTTTATATGTTTTTTCTTGTGTCTGCACAAGATTCTAGTTCAATCCCCAGAAAGAAAATAAGTTTTAGACAAAACAGTATGCAACACACACCCACAGTATTTATAATAAAACTTCTTTTTTAAATGTTGTCTAAACATATGAAAGATAATATGAAGGGAAACTCATATAGTCATATGCTGAGCAAAAATTTTAGGAGTATTATTTAGGAAACAGTTAACCACTATAGAGGTCAATGACAATAATTTTTATGTAGATTCCTGATGTATAAATAGAAAAAAATAGTAACACCATGGAAGTCTTGAGTTAAAAAATTTCTTCTGTTCATCATCAATTAGAAATATCCTGTCATTGCCTTTAATAGCTCTTCCTTTGAAATGATGATATAGAGGGAAGAGAAAGTCTTTGAGAAAATGATGTAATCATTCTGAGGATTTTATTGACCCCCAATGTAAAATGTAATCAGTCTATATTCCTCTAAAAAACTAATGTTAGTTTTTAAAAATACATAAAATACAGCCAATGATCTCTATGTTATTATTGGCCGTGAACATGTGTGACAACTTCTTTTGGAACTCTGACACCCACAGACATCTTGAATTGCTCAGAAGACTCTAAAATATTTACCTGGGCCTTGTTTACCATCTTCAAAAGATTATTATGTTTCATGCAGCCAAATATTATTGAGTTCAGTCTTTTATTCTTCCAGTGTAATATTTACCAAGATGAAAATACAGTTTATCAGACAAAGAATAAGATTCAGAATTGGCTTTTTAGGAGAACTTTTAAAACTCAATGTGTTTATCATTGTTTTAAGTCTTTTGCTATTTTTTAGAGAAAATGGAGCAAAGAAAAATATATTTGATAATAAACATTTCTTATTCCACTAATCAAATTTCAGTTGATGAAATAGCATCCATCATTTGTGCAGTAGTGAAAATGTTATTTTGATCCGGGTGGCAAGACAAAGGTAGGAAGAAGAAGGGAAAAGGAAACAGAATGAAAAGAGAAAGAGGACTTGTCTTAAAATTGGGTTTGAATTGGGTCAACTCTTAGCCTTATATATACCTAACAAAAACACAGAATAAAGGGAAAAAAATGGAATGGAGTATAGAATGTGGCATAATCTATATGAAAATTTTAAGTTCTGCTCCTAATAAATACACCACCCATTTAATAGCATTTCCATGAACCTAATTCTTTAGTATTAGCCTCTAAGACCTAATATTTATATGTAGATTATACAAATCACAATTTTTAAGACTTTATTCTGGAAAAATATTCAGATTTGAATGAAGAAATTTTGATTTAAAAGTGATTTGAATAGAGAATTCAAGATTATAAGGAGAAAGTGTTTCCAGTGATAGTATCATCTGTATGCAAGTGAAATTTAATACAGTACCTACTAGGTGCAAGGCATTCAACACAAAGGAACTTAAGCACTGATTACTGTACTCATTAGGAGATAAAGGTCTCAGTTTCTAATCCATTGGCGAAGGAGCTAGGACAAAGATCTTTGATGAGCTTCTGAGAGAGTGAAATAAAGTGCCTCTGTCTAAAAAGCAAAGTTTTGTGTTTAGTGTGCCTCCAGTTTCAGATCATGATAAACTTTGACTGGGAAGCAGATATATCTGTGTCATGCTAGCCCCTTCACTTTCACACTGTGCACTAGGTGTGTAGTCTTGGGTGAGTTACCTGTCTTTTCTCAACCTTCCTTTCACTTTCCAGAAAATGGAGTTAAAAATACTAGCCACAAAGGCTCTTTAGCATTAAATGAAGAGATGCTGTGAAAGTTCTAGCACAGTCCTTGACAAAGCAGACAGTCAGGAAATGTGATGAGATAGTAAGAATGACCTTGCAGTGGTGTGCCATGAAGTCGGCAGCTTTTCCTGGTTGAAGGGAAGCATTTTCTGTAAAAGAATGCATCCTCAGAAGATTAGATGTTATTATTTAATGTGCTGCTTTTGTCAGTTTGGCAAAGGTTAAACTTACAAAATATTCAGAAATGTCTGATTTATTACAAGTCAGCCCGTCACACGTCTTCAAGGCCATTCTGATAATGAGTTTAAACTCGAATTGCAGATTTGAATGAAACTGCACTTCTGGTTTGCTCCAGTCCTCCAGATAGACTCAGTATATAGTCCAACATCAGAGGAGAGTTTTGGATAAACCATTTTGTAGGGTGTTCATCTGGATTTTTAAACATGACAATTGATCAAACGTGGATAGCTACAGACTCCACTTGTTCCAGTACTTTTCATAATCATCACATTAACTTTATGCATAAAAATACATAGACTAGGATATTATTATGATTCAAATTTCCTGGGAAATGTTTGTTCCATTCCTCAGCTAGAAAAAATTTATTTGCAGATGCAGCCTATATATGTGCCTGTGTCTTTGTTAAAGAAACTAGCATTGAAATATAAGATTATTATTATTAACATTAGCATCTTACCTTCCTGTCATTTGTGTTCCGCACAATATGGAGAGATGCAGAAAACTGGTGTTCTGCATCTGAATCTACCCTAGCGAGGAAAGTGAAAGGAAATCTCACCCTCATACTTGAGGAAAGATAGTATATGGATTGTGAAAAACCACTCAATTGTCCCATTTTACACAATCTCCTGCCCAATGTTGAATTCTATTTTCAAATGGAATTGTTGAGGTTTAAAAATATATAATTTAAGAAAAGTGGAAGAGCCACTTGGTTTGTCTCCCAAATGCATTAAAAATATCCCCTTTGTAAGGCACCTTGAAGATGCAAATTACAAGGCTTGTAGGTGAGAGCCACTGTTGAAAAATACTTTGCTGTATCTTCATGTGATGTTTGTGACAATTGCTGGCGATAACTACCCACTTTCTTTCAGAATCATTTCAGAGGATCAGCTAAAAATGCTGTTAACTATAAGAGACTCAATCTGTCAAAATGTATTAAAATGACATACCGTTAGTGCTAGTTCAACCTAAAAAAAAATCATCCTGTAATGAAATGCTTTATGTAAACTCAGGAAAGCTAGGAAATTCACGCTTCTCTACTAAATTAGCCAATATTTGAGACCCATGGTGGTGTGGTATAGAAATGGTAATTTGACTCCTTGCAGTGGCTTAGTAATGGCCTCTTCATACTTATCCATAGATGTGTGTGCTTTTGTGAATATGTCTTAGAGACCTAGAAATGACTTCCCCCCAAAATGGGAAAGCATATGGAAGAAGCAGGTGTGAGTAAAATGAAGGTAAATTTATTTTCCTTGCCCATCTCCCCAATTTTTTGTTAGCACATAAAAACATAGACATCAGCACACTCACACACACACAAACACACACACACATTTTGAACTGAGGCATGTCTATAAAGAACATTTTTAAAGTGACAATTTTTCAAAATGAGAGCAGCAGACACTGAACCCAGTGCTGCTGTCCTCACATTAGGAGAGTCATAACCCGCATTCCATCCATGGACATCAAGTCTTCGGTTGAGAGGAAAAGACTAGCTGATATTGACACACTTACAAATGAGGACCAGAATGAGACACTGCAGTACTTTACATCCTTCTGAAACTTGATAATGAAGCACTATCAGGCTTTACCAAGATCAAACTGGGGAAAGATGAAAGCTTCCATAGTCTCCTTATAATTTATAATTTGACCAAATCCATAGAGTTTATCTCATCTCATTGCTCAAAGGGATCAATCATTGACATTTTTATCCCCTACATTCCTAGCTCAATTGAAGGTATTTAGATGGAAGATAGCTAAATGTGGGTTAATGAAATTGCTATTAATCACTTTTTGAGAAAATGTAGGAATCCCAAGAACATGCTATAATTTGCATCACTTTTGTACTGCCTCTGCCAGCTCTGTAGTTAAAGTGTAACAAAACAACTATTTATGAAAAGGGCAGGTTTAAGATGAAAATAATTCTTTTGCAAAACTCAGGAAACAGTGTCAGAGCCTGTGAACTGTGCTCTTCCAACTGGAGAATCCTGTATTTGTAATAAATTCCTTTTGCTCTGGATGAGTTCTGCATTTTCAATGAGGTTAACTTGGCAACATTCTAGTTGATTTTAATAAAAATAGCTGCTTTGAGGACAGGGAGCTGAGGTTGCCAAATTTACAGCTGCCTTGCACAATTACTCTTACACCTCCTTCAGGGCTACTTAGAACCAGTAAGCAAATTAAGTGTATCGATTGCAATTTTGTTGGACTAACCCCCTCTTTTTTTTTTCTTAAGGAATAAACTTGATTCCTTTCAGTATGTGTCTGTTCAGAGTGATCTCTTTTCTTTTCAGCCATAACACAAAGACAACATCATGGCTGGATCCACGACTTGCGAAAAAGGCTAAACCTCCAGAAGAGTGCAAAGAAAATGGTAGGTTGTTAAGTTTTTATGGGGTTTCAGCATTGCACTTGGGAATGTGCATGTTTCTTAAAAAAGAGGGTCGCGCCTAAGGAAGCCGTAATCTAGTTGAAACAATTTTAAAGCTGTAATATTTAATGCTCAGATAGGAGAGAGTGTTAACTCGGCATTTCAGCAGTGCCATGTGGTTTTTCCTTTTTCTCTCTGAGCAGACTGTGCTGGATATCACTTCTCTGTCATCTCTGTGGGTCCTGTTTGACTTCTGGCCTGACTTTCTGCCTCCTACTAGGGACTTTTTGTTTGCAGTATGTCTCTCTGAGAACTCTGATCTTTTCATTAGAATTAAATATGATGTATAGAGAAGAGTATTATGGAACTATAAATAATGTGTGGTTTTTCTGTTGAGACACAGTGTTCTGCTAGTGAGTAAGGAATCAGTGATATAAAGGTTTATATATACGGCATCTTTCCTTTAATCAAACATTTAAAGGCAGTAATTAATTGCATGAATGTGCTATCTTTAGTATTTTCTAGTTCTCAATGTAATGACATTAACTTGCTTAAACATTGACTGTCTTCCTCTGTGTAAAGAGTTTTTAAAAAAAATTTTGAGGGTAAGATGAAGGTAAACTTCATTTTTAAATTGGCAAATTATATAGATGAAGTCTGCTACTAATATTTTTAAGTTTTTTTAATATTGAATTTAATGTTAAAAGAGTACTTATAATTTATCTAAACTGATAAATAGCCTACTCCCCTGATGATTTATTATTTGACCACATTCACAGCCTTTATCTGATCAAATTATTAGAGCCTTGTTCAGAGGCATCTATCATTGAAGAGCTCGTAAATGTGAAGAAAGTGACAAGGGGTATTTAAACTTTTTAATAGTTTTTAGAAAGTCAACTTTTTAAAAAGATCTGTAATTCTAAAAGTCATTTTATTTTAACAATAATTCTGGCGTTCTCAGGTAATATCAAGATAATATTGTTCATTCCTATATTATAAGGTAACTGTTCACAAGCTAGGTATACAACTGAGTTAAAGTAAAAATAAGTATACCATTTATATGTACATACTTCAATGCATAATATCCAAATTTTCATCACCATCTATATTTAATTTTATACTCATAGCTATATTTGTATGCCTTCTGTATAAAAGTATAGCTGCATGTGTGTGAATCCTTTAAAATTATTTTGTGACCTGAGACTTTTGAGCACAATTAGGTTACATTTCACTGACACCAATGAGATATGCGTTGTAAATTATTATAGGTTATAAATTTAAATGCCCTCGTCTGCTATATCTGGGAGTTACAATTTACTTACGCCACAGATATAAAGCCTTAATATATACTAATTAAAATGAATTTAATGATTTTGCAGTTCTGTGACATATTGAACTTCTCAGCTGTCTTGTGTCTTTGAGTAGTTCTTTTCATTATAGTTAAAATTTTAAAATCCTGGGAGAGATGTAGGTTTAACATATTGCATAACTATAATATTTTAGTGTTACCAGTTTTTTTCATATCTGCACTTGTATGTCTTCTCAGGATGGTAGATGCCTAAAATATGGTACCAGTGTCTGTGAATCACCTGTCGTTAAAAAAATGAGTCCTAGAATACAGTCTTATAGCTCAGAATGATTTATAACTGGTCAATTACTATCTATTTTCATTTTCTACAAACTAAGCAATTCATAGATTTTATTTCCTATGTTATTGGAGTACTCTACAATAGAAACTAACATCTAGGTTAGGATGCTGTTGTTTCAGACACATATCTTAAGTTTTCCTGCCACGAAAAGTGCTTTTTGTTAATACTGTTACTTATCTTTTATTTTTCTTTTCTTTAGATAATGTAGATTAAAACACTTACTTAAATTTTGGATGTTAATGAATTGCTCTTGAGCCTACTATTTAAGTCAGGCTTCTTTATATGTATTGCAGGTCAGCTCGGATCCAAAAAGTTAGTCATTTTCTCAATCCTGGAATGTGTATAAACGTGTATAAAAATTAGAGAGGCTCAAGACGATAATATCTTTCCCTAGCAAAGATTTATCCTTCTTTCACCAGACACAGATAGAGACTGATTACCTTTATCCATTCTGGAGCTGAGCTCACAAGAGGTTGGGTTGAGTTTTGGTGAGACCAGTCTACCTCTGGCTTGCTTCTATTCTTAGGGTGTTTGCCCACCCAGGGTTTCAACTGACAGCCCATTGAAGGTCAGCAAATATTTTGTGTCAAGAGTAAGGTAGTGAATATTTCAGGCTTTGGTCATCCAATCTCTTTGCAACTACTCATTGCTGTATAAAAGTGGCCAAAGTCAATATAGAATAAAGGGCATGGATGTATTTCAATAAAACATTATTTATGGACACAGAAATTTGAGTTTCACATGCTTCCATGAAATAAAATATTTTTCTTCTTTTGATATTTTTCTCAACCATTTAATAGTGTATAAACTGTTCTTAACTCATGGACCATACCAAGATTAGAGGCAAGGTGGACTTGGTCCACAGGATGAACCCTGGCCTAGTGTGTCCATGTAGACCTGCCCCTCGACTGGTCTTGAACAGTATTTTACAAGTATTTTTCTTCTCAGTAGTGCAAGACTACCAAAAATCCGTGGTGCTCTGCAGGACTTTTAGTATTTTGCCTCTAGACCTTTCAGCTTTCGAATGTAACTGCCAGACATCATCATGGGATGATTGGCATGTGTCGGAGCTCTGTGGGTCCCTCAAGACTCTGCAACTGTCTGTTGATTTCTCTAATCCCCAGCGGTGGCCTTCTTCCCAGGCCAAGTCTATGTTCTTCCCACAGCCTAGAATCAACAAAAAATCAGCTGCAGATTCTTCCCTCCCCCCTCTAGGGTTCTTTCCTGTTCAGATTCTTAGACTGTTTTAGACCTGTTATTTTAGCAATTCTCTGATCTCTTTGAACTGTTTATTTTTTACATTTGATCTAGATTTTCTCTGTGTTCTCTTGGGTTATAACCCACTCACTTCATCTTACTTGGAAGCAGAAAGTTTCGTGCAATAATTTTTAATTTGCACATTTTAAACCTTTCTGGGTTGTGCACCATAATTTCCATATTATCATTATAATTTATATTTTACCCCCCAGGATTGAATTCCATGTTGTAGGTGTGTGCATGCTATTATGAATGTACATATGTATGTGTGTGTATGTAGATATGGATTTGTAAATTATGCTTCTTCAGTTCTGTTTACAGAGATACATAAAGATAATTCCTTGGCCAGCTATAATAAGAAGAAGTCAGGTAAAAGAGAAATGAAAGGAGATATCAACTGATTTAAATTATTCTTGGGCAAGAGAAAAAGCTAGTAAATGTTTTCTCATTAGTATCAACAGGGGAGAAGCCATTATGGGTGGCTCAGTGCAAATACTTATTAAACAGCCACTTATTCTATTGACACTTTGCCTTTTTGTTTGAAGGATAACACAGCTACTAAACATAAAAACATGCTTCTCTCACAGTATGGTTGAAAATACTGAAGTCATTGTGTTCTGTGCGTTTGTCATAGCTCTGTGCATTTTGGGAGCTTTAGCACCATTCTGCATGGCAGAAAAAAGCCTCCACCTACTACTGGATTCTAATATTAGTATTTGGGGGAGTGCTGTTCAGCAAGCCAATCTAGGCTTTTACAAAATGCCACAGAAATAGCAGTTAGCTGTGAAATAATCTGCATGCAAGGTTGGTTGAATTGTGTGTCAGGCACCATCATACGGTCCCCAGCCCTTGGAATCGGTCCCGTGGTGTTTGTCTGAGACATTTCCTATCGCAGACATCTCAGTGGTGACACGTCCTACAAGAATCACTGAATTAGGGTTAATATCAGAAGGGATTCAATCCTAGTAGGACCCTTCTTAAAGTGGAAATGTTACTGAACTCAATTAGGACTATAGTATTGTATTCAGGAGAGGAAATTATGTAGTATTTGTAGTCTGG